CTAGCAAATGGTAGAGCCAAGATTCAAATTCAAGTGTGCCTGGTTATTTTCAGTATAACACCTCTGGAAGCCAAGGGCCTTCTAAGCACACAAAATACGTTTCAATGAAAAAAAAATCCCTCTACTAGAACAGATTCCAGGATTAGACTTGACTGTTGAGACCTAACCTCAAATAAGGTGATTTCTCAAATTCCCCGATTTGTTAAGGCTGCATCTGAATTTCCACTTCAGCTCTTTTGATAGCTGCTTCCTGACAGACAGACAGATCGACCACTAGCTGGGTCGAGTGGTAACACATATCATGTAGCTTCCTGATATGTCTGAACTTCAACTCAGATGTATTTTCCCTTGGTTTTTACTGTAAACATAAGAGTTCTTACATTTAATTTTTTTAATAATTGATAAGGCCACACGTGGTGGTTCATGCCTGTAATCTCAGTACTTTGGGAGGCCGAGGCGGGTGGATTGCTTAAGCTCAAAACCAGCCTAGGCAACCTAGGGAAACCTCATCTCTACAAAAAAAAAACAAACATAAAATTAGCTGAGTGTGGTGATGTAGGCCTGTAGTCCCAGCTACTCAGGATGCTGAACTGGAAGGGTCACCTGAGCCCAGAAGGTCGAGGCCGCCATGAGTTGTGATTGTGCCACTCCAATCCAGTCTGGGTTGACAGGGTGAGACCCCAACTTTAAAAAAAAAAAAAAGCTGGGCATGATCACTCATGTCTGTAATCCTAGCACCTTGGGAGGCTGAGGTAGGAAGATCGCTTGAGCCCAGGAGTTCAAGACCAGCCTCGGCAACTTAGCAGGACCTCGTCTCTATAAAAAATCAAAAAATTAGCTGGTCATGATGGAATGCGTTGGGAGTCCCAGTCACTCGAGAAACTGCGGCAAAAGGATCACCTGAGCCCCGAGGTTGTGGTGAGCCATAATCCTGCCACTGCACTCCAGCCTGGGTGACAAAGTGAGACCCTGACTCAAAAAAATAAAAATAAAAATTGTAATAGCTGATGGATAACTGATAAAAATGTATAAGGGCTTCAGCTCTTCAATCAACTTCTGATAATAGCTTAGACTTTGAATAGCATTCTCAACCACTGAGGAAAGGTTTTTTCAAAGTTTCTTCAGAGTGTATTTCATTCCTTTCCTCAGATTACACTTCTATATTTCATCTAGAAATTAGAAGACTGGACTATACTTATTGGACTAGTAAATTGCCTGTTTTCACCAATTGCAGTTTGGGTAAACTGCAGGGTGTAGGATCAAGTAATCCTGACCTCTAGCTGGATGACTCAAGGTACAGGTACCCATTTCTAACATAAATGGTTCTCATATTCTTTACAGTTACTCTGTAGGCAGAAAATATAATAGACCCTTAAAATAGAAAACCAGAATGGTATAGTGGAAAAACTATGAGTTTGAGGGTCAGACAGACCTGGGTTTGAATATCATCACTTCCACCACCTGCTAGCCATGATCCTGAGAAAATTACTTCAGCTCACTGGGCTTCAGTACTTTCATTTATAAAATGGAGATAACCACTACAGGTGATACAGAGGGACAAAAGAAAGGCATCCCCGATCTGGAATTGCTTTCAGAATGTGATTATGAAGAATCATGTCATAATAGCTGTCAGGTCAACCACAAAAATGATACAATTTGTAAACGTCTGAGGAGATTTGAGACCTAGCCCCAAATAAAGTGATTAGTACACCTGAAGCTATAAAAAAAAAGCCTTATATGAAATCGAGTATGATCAAAGCTGAATAAAAATATGATACACAGGCCAGGTATGGTGGCTCATGCTTGTAATCCTGGCATTTGGGAGACTGAGGCAGGAAGATTGCTTGAGAACAGGAGTTTGATACTAGCCTGGGCAACACAGCAAGACCTCGTCTCTACAAAAAATTTAAAAAATTAGCCAGGCATGGTGGCATTTGCCTGTAGTCCCAGCTAAGGTGAGAGGATCGCTTGAGCCTAGGAATTTGAGGCTGCGGTGAGCCATGATCATGTCACTGCGCTCCAGCCTGGGCAACAGAGTGAGACTCCAACTCAAAAAAAAAAAAAAAAGACTAAAATGGGAAATACATAGACCTACATAGTCATACAAGATTTTTTCTATAAAAAGAATGCCACAGCCAGGCACGGTGACTCAGCCTGTAATCCCAGCACTTTGGAAGACCGAGGTGAGAGAATTGCCTGAGTCTGGGGGTTTGAGACCAGCCTGGACAACTTGGTAAGATCTAGTATCTACAATAAATCACACACACAAAAACTAGCTGGGCATGGTGGCATACGTCCGTAGTTCCAGCTACTTGGAAGGCTGAGATAGAAGGATCACCTAAGCCCAGCAGGTTGAGGCTGCAGTGGCCATGAGCATGCCACTGCACTCCAGCCTGGGCAACAAGAGTGAGACTCCAACTCAAAAAAAAAAAAAAAAAAAAAAGAATGCCACAAAGTCAATCTTTTGGTGAAGCACTACTTGTACTGTCTAAGGCTAAAAAGAACCTGACCCATGAACACAAACATCTAGTCCATGGGCAAGTATAGCACTACAGTGTCTTGAATATCATCTTTTAATTACCTCCCTTCTCTTTGCTCAGGGTTCATATGCTCACCAAGAATCTTTCATATAACTTTACTACAGGTGAATGTGTTAACAAGCTAACATGAATGATATGTTCCACCAAGTATTTCTATTTCTCCATATAAATTAATAGATTAGCATTCTGGTTAATACACTGGACCCACAACTTTTTGGTTAATATGAATCTAACTCCCTTTGGTATATTCACAGAATTAATATTCAGAAGCAAGATTTTAAGAGATTGACAAGAACCTAGTATTGCTGAGTGTGTAAGCAAACAGCAGATCCTCAGGCCTAATAACTTTTTTGGAAAAGATTTTGGCAATGTGTTATCAAAATGTGTGCATCTTTTTACCTAAATAATCCTACTACTAGGAATTTAACCCTAGGAGATAATCACGTAAGTAAAAAAGAAAAAAAATTAAAACATTGTTTATAATAATTAAAATAATGAGACTTAGCTGAGCACAGTGGCTCATGCTTGTAATCCCAGCACTTTGGGAGGCTGAGGTGAGAGGATTGCCTGAGCCCAGGGTTCGAGATCAGCCTAGGCAACGTGGTGACACCTCATCTCTACAATAAATCAAAAAAGCATTAGCCGGGAGTGGTGATGTGTGCCTATAGTTCCAGCTCGTTGGAAGACTGAGACAGAAGGATTGACTAAGTCCAGCAGGTCAAGGCTGCAATGGCCATAAGCATGCCACTGCACTTCAGCCTGGGTGACAGAGTGAGAATCCGACTCCCAAAAAATTCATTAATTAAATAAAATACTAAGCAAACAAATGAAATATGAAGCAGCTAGTTAACAGAAAACCCTTTGAGAAACACGAGCATCAGAGAGCTAGTAGAATATTCACCAAAATGTTCATAGTGTATCTATCTATATCTATATTTTTTAACCAAAATACACACCATCTTTATAAAAATAGTTATTTATGAAAGAAAAAAGTCTAGACATACGAACAACAATGAATGTCATATATTGAGAACCTACTCTGTGTTAGACACCATGGTAAGGACTTTACATATTCCGAAAATAAAGATTAAATGACATGAGAAGAAGCCAGAACTCAGAGATTATGTGACTTGCCTAGGCTCACGCAGCTAGCAAATGGCAAAGCTTCTATTTGTTTTTGTTTTTGTTTTTGTTTTCTCAGAAAGAAATATTTAAAAGTGACTTACGGCACATGCCTGTAATCCCAGCACTTTGGGAGGCATAGGGGAGAGGATTGCCTGAGCTCAGGGGTTCGAGACCAGCCTGAGCAACATGGTGAGACCTCATCTCTACAATAAATCAAAAAATTAGTCAGGCGTGGTGGCACATGTGTGTGGTTCCAGCTACTTGGGAGACTGAGGCAGAGGGATCACCTGAGTCCTGCAGGTCGAGGCTGCGGTGGCCATGAGCGCACTACTGCACTCCAGCCTGGGTGACAGAGTGAGACTCCAACTCAAAATAAATAAATAAATAAAAGTGACTTGTGAACAGAAGTGATGTCTCAGGCAGCTGAAAGACAGTGGATCCCTGCATCTGCCCTCCAGGACATCCTCCAGGACTTATTTTATATAGCAAGATTTCTGGTAAGACATGTGCAGTTGGTCATGTCTCCGACTTTCCTGTTGAATTTCATGACCACTGGGAAGGTTAGATAAGCATCTTTATGAGGGGTTATCAATGCTATCAGTGTTGTTTCTTCATGACAAAGTCGCTGTTTGAATCGAGGTTAGTCTCCGATTGTCTGTGTTCTTCTCTCTACACTATACTGTGTCTCTTCTAAAAGACATGCTCCCACTGGAGCCAGACAACCAACCCCAGGAAACACCCATCTGGTTCCCCATGTACCTCTTTCAAACTCAGTATGAAGTAATAGGAAGTAAAATACCTGACACAGTATCTAAAATATAGTAGATTTAATACAGGGATTCCTTTAATGAATTCCTTTAATGATTGTCCATTGAATTGTTGAACAGGAAGAGTTTACCTACTTTCTTCAGCTCTTAGCTATGTTATACAATTTTAAACTGATAAAAATTTAGGCTTGAAGCCGGGCTCAGTGGCTCAGCCTGTAATCCCAGTGCTTTGGGAGGCTGAGGTGCGTGGATTGCCTGAGCCCGTGGGTTCAAGACCCACCTGGGCAACTTGGCGAGACCTCATCTCTACAATAAGTCAAAAAAATTAGCTGGGCATGGTAGCACATGCCTGTGGTTCCGGCTACTTGGAAGGCTGAGGCGGAAGGATCGCCAGAGCCCAGCAGGTCGAGGCTGCAGTGGCCGGGAGCGCCACTGCACTCCAGTCTGGGTGACAGAGTGAGACGCTCCAACTCAAAAAAAAAAAAAAAAATTTAGGCTTGAATATTAAGTATATGATAGTTACCTAGTTGACTTAGAAAAAATTAAGATGATGTTATGGACTACTTACTTGAAATTTCACAGAATAAGTGTAAGTCACATTCAACTTATCTGTTTGTTCTCCAGGAATTTCCATAGGGGGTCCATTACAAGTTAGGTGGTTTTCATCTGAATGCTTATAGCTAGTAAAAGAGAAACAAAAAGAAGAAAAGTAAATTTTTATATGAAACTAACCTTGTAAAATTGCCAATTCATGGCTATTCAGGCATGTAACAGCAGGCTCAAAAAAATAGGCCTTTCATTACATTCTGCATTTAAAACTCCTTATGATTAAAATACTTTCATTTCTAAATGTCCCCAACATTCAAATAAGAGTCAATATACTACCCCAAATTCAATATTTAAGAACTTTCGCCTTGCCTATAGATAGAAAGAACAAACAAAAAACCCTTCTATCAGCAAATGGCTTTTTCATCTCTCAGCTCATCCCTCTTTGATATACTAAATAACGTATCTTGTAACCTTAGCTGTAGAACTAGAGAATTGAAGAGATGAAGCAAAAATCATATTTATAAGCACTCAGAGAATTGAGGACCTACGTTGTATAAAGCACCATGCTTAGCAAAAAAAGATACTGAAGATATCTACATGAACCTTTTTACCTGAAAAAGAGAAAAATTATTAAAAATAGAAAATGGAGGGGAAAAACTAGAGAAGTTTGGAAATGGATAACACTGATGGAAGTAGCAAATGTCTGATCAGGGATGAGGAGACTTTTATTTTTATTTTGTTTTTATTGCTTTTTATTTATTTTTTTAATTTTAGTCAGAGTCTCACTCTGCTGCCCAGGCTGGAGTGCAGTGGCACGCTCACAGTCACCACAGCATCAACCTGCTGGGCTCAGGTGATCCTTCCACCTCAGCCTTCCAAGTAGCTGGAATCACAGGCACATGCCACCATACCTGGGTAATTTTTTGACTTATTGTAGAGATGAGGTCTTGCCAAGTTGCCCAGATTGGTCTCAAACCCCTGGACTCAGGCAATCTTCTCGCCTCCACCTTCTAAAGTGCTGGGAGTGCGGGTGTGAGCCACTGTGCCCAGCTCTTGGCTGTTTTCTAGTGAATAATATGCAATTCTATGGAATTGTTGTCTATACATGTATATGCACAATAAAACCATTGGCTCACAGTTGTGGAAGATATTGATGCATACCTCTTCTATTCATTTTTGTAATACTAGTGTCTGGTACAATAATAGACCCTTACAAGTGTTTGTGGAATACGTAAATTCTATTTAGAGCCAGAATGCATTTTTAAATAGCTACAAATTTTTTAAATAATGATTGCTAAGGTTATAAATAGTTCAAAAGTTAATTTTAAAGAGAACAATTAAATTACTGCATGATAATACTTATCAAGGGCTTACTGCGTATGTATAGTCTTGAGTCCAGCACAGAAAATATCTGCATTTCATATGAGAGATTATGCAGCAAAAATTGTGCTGAGAGCTCTAACCAAAGTAAAAGCCCTATTTGAAACCACTGGCTTTATATGTGGGCTGCATAAGGCTTTATAGGCCAATTTCAAAACTTTGACTTTTACTCTAAGTAAGATGGGAAGTGAAAATGGAAGATTCTGAGCAGAGGATTGAAATGAGCTGACGTTTCAAAAGGAATGCTCTGAATGCTATATTGAGAACAAACTGCTAGTAGACAAGGGTAGCAGCAGGGAGACTAGTTAGGTTTTTGAATAATCCAGCTGAGGTAAAATGATGTCTTAGACCAGGTGATGGTGGAGGTGATGAGATGTAGTGGATTCTGAATACATTTTGAAGGGAGAGTCTCATGGTCTGCCAAAGGACTAGACTAGATATGGAGTATGACAGAAGAGTGAGAAAGGGGAATCATGGGTGGTGCCATGGTTGGAGCCTGAGCAACTGGAAAGATGTAGTTGTCACTTACTGAGATGAGAAAGACAAAAGGAGAAGCACATCCAAGATGACATGTCAAGTAAACAGCCCAAGATATACAAACCTAGAGATCTAAAAGTCATCATGGTAACACCATGAGACAGAATAAGATTACCAAGGTAAACTGGGCTCAGTGGCTCAACCTGTAATCCTGCGCTTTGGGAGGCTGAGGTGAGTGGATTGCCTGAGCCCACGGGTTGGAGACCTGCCTGAGCAACTTGGCGAGACCTCATCTCTACAATAAATCAAAAAATTAGCTGGGCGTGGTAGCGCATGCCTATAGTTCCAGCTACTTGGAAGGCTGAGGCAAAAGGATCGCCGGAGCCTAGCAGGTCGAGGCTGCGGTGGCCGGGAGCGTGCCACTGCACTCCAGTCTGGGCGACAGAGTGAGACTCCAACTCAAAAAAAAAGATTACCAAGATATAGCCAGGCGCAGTGGCTCACACCTGTAATCCCAGCACTTTGGGAGGTAGAGGCAAGAGGACTGCCTGAGTCCAGGGATTTGCAACCAGCCTGGGCAACTTGGTGAGACCTCGTCTCTACAATAAATCAAAAAATTAGCCAGGCATGGTGGTACATGCCTGTAGTTCTAGTTACTTGGAAGGTTGAGGTGGAAGGATGGCCTGAGCTCAGCAGGTCAAGGTTGCAGTGGTCAGGTAACCATGAGCATGCCACTGCACTCCAGCCTGGGTGACAGCGTGAGACTCTGACTCAAAAAGAAAAGAAGCCACACTCATCTTCGAGAGTTGACCCTCTTCCTGTCTATGGGAAGTGATCTTTTTCTTAAATAAATCTTTTCTTCCTTCAAAGAAGGCGTGAGTATAAATAATGAAGAAAACTACAAAGACTGAGTCTAGGAGCCCTCCCACAGTAAAAGGTTAGGAAAATGAGGATGAGATTAAGAAGTGACTGGTGAAATAAGAAATCAGGAAGGTATGGTAACCTAAGAGCCAAATGAAACAAGTATTTTTTTGGGGGTGGTGGTGTTGGAGTTTCACTGTCACCCAGGCTGGAGTGCAGTGGCATACTCATGGCAGCCTCAATCTGCTGGGCTCAGGCGATCCTTCCGCCCCAGGCTTCAACTACAAGCATGCACCACCATGCCTGGCTAATTTTTTGATTTGTTGTAGAGACAAGGTCTCGCGCCAAGTTGCCCAGGCTGGCCTTGATCCCCTGGGCTTAGGCAATCCTCTTGCTTCTGCCTCCCAAAGTGCTAGGATTATAGGTATGAGCTACCATGCCCAGTCAAAGCAAGTATTTTAAGAAAAAGAGATGATCAACTATGGTATCAGCCAGGGAAATTGGTCGGGAACAGCACCTAAAACAAAAGACCACAATAATTCGATCTAACTCACTTCTATGACCTTGGGCAGATTGTTTAGTTCGGCAAAAAATTAATTATAACACAGTTCATGTCCTCAAGTGACCTACATAAATGACCATTACAGCAATCAGATGAAAGCTGTATGTACACATAAGCTATTACTATGGGCAGTGTAGAATAAATACAACTTCAAAAAGTATTTTCTTGTTTTTTTTCCTCTATCTGGGTCTGAGAATATGAGATGTGACTATAAGCATTAAGTTTGATTTTCATATAGCTGGTAAAAGATTTGCTTCCTGATCATACTTTGTATATTTCCTACCTTTCTTACAAATCCCTTCAATCATGAGCAGCCATCCCAAATCAGACCTCAGAGTCCATCATCCTAAAACTTCTGTTTCCAGATATCAGAAGTGGCATACACAAAAAAAGTATGGGTGATTGTCCTTGACAAAGGCAAAGTATTTCGTGACATCTCTTAGTAGCTATGTTTACTCCTTTATTCATAAATATGCCCTAAATGTTTTAATTCCTCTTTTATTTCCTATTTGTAATACCTTGTGGAGATAAACGTCTAAATTTTTTCCATAGCCACTAATTTTAAAACTACGATCAAACAAAATTGGAAATCTCTAATCATCAGAGAAATGCAAATCAAAACCACAATGAGATATCACTTCACACCTGTTAGAATGGCTATTATCAAGAAGACAAGAGATAAGTGTTGGATGAGGATGTGGAAAAGTGGATGTTGGTGAGAATGTAAATTAATACAGCCATTATGGAAAACAGTATGGAGGATCCTGAAAAGTGAAAAATAGAGCTACCATATGATTCAGCAATCCCACTTTTGGGTATTTATCAAAAAATGAAATCAGAATTGCCTGAGCTCAGGGGTTCGAAACCAGCCTGGGCAACATGGCGAGACCTTGTCTTTACAATAAGTTAAAAAATTTAGCCAGGCGTGCTAGCGCACGCCTTGTAATTCCAGCTACTTAGAAGGCTGAGGCAGAAGGATCGCCTGAGCCCAGCAGATTGAGGCTGCAGTGGCAGTGAGCACGCCACTGCACTCCAGCCTGGGCGAAAGAGTGAGACTCCAACTAAAAAAAAAAAAAAAAAAAGCTATAAAGTACCAGTGCTCTTAACCATTTAGGGCCTGTTTATTTCATAAAATCTATAGACACTTTTTTCAAGGAAAACACACTTGAATAATAATTTCCAGGGGTTGACACATCAGGTTCTACATTTCAGACTCCTAATTTCGCCTTCTCTTTTTTCAGATAAGGAAATAAAGTCTATGAAACATCAAGTTAACCTACCCATGATCAAAATCTTGGCATAATACGTTCTTTAACTGTTTGTTTCTTTAGTTCATCAGCTGTTACAAATAGATCAACTCTAGCTGAAGTAAAATAGGGCCAGGTGCGGTGGGTCACACTTGTTAATCCCAGCACTTTGGCATGGCGAGGTAGGAGAATCGCTTGAACCCAGAAGACGGGGCAACATAGTAAGGCCTCATTTCTATAGAAAATAAATAAGCCAGGCTTAGTGGTATGTGCCTGTAGTCCCAACTATTCAGGAGGCTGAAGCAGGAGAATTGCTTGAGCCCAGTAGTTCAAGGTTGCAGTGAGCTGTGATTGCACCTCTGCACCCCAGCCTGGGTGAGAGAGCAAGTCTCTATATCTCTAAAAATTTTTTTTAAATAAAGTAAAATAGAATAGTAAGCCAAAAAACAATCAAGTCTGATTCATTTCTATAGATTTAGGGTTGACTTCCAAAATGAAACCAGCAGAGATTAGACTAAGATCCAAATTTCCTAATTATTTGCTCTGTGTTCAAGAAACGGTACCAAAACTGCCTCCTTTAATATGTTTCACTTAAATTTTAAGGCATAGGTTAGACACGGTACCTCATGCCTATAATCCCAACACCTTGGGAGGCTGAAGTGGGAGAACTGCTTGAGCCCAGGAGTTCGAGGTCAGCCTGGGCAACATAGTGAGACCTAGTCTTTACAAAATTAAAATAAATTTAAAAATTAGTTGGGCATGGTGGTGAGCACCTGTAGTTCGAGCTACTCAGGAGTTTGAGGTCAAAGGAACAGCTGAGCACAGGAGGTTGCAAACTGCAGTGAGTTATGACCATGTCACTGCACTCCAGCCTGGGCAACAGAGTGAAACCCCAACCAAAAAATAAAAATTCATGGGATAATTTCCTCCAACCCAATATTTCAGGTTTTATAATACTTCATCCACAATGGATTATAATGTTAACACTCTGTGATATATTACTCTCTTTACCTTTCTTAATTGAAGAGTATTAATCTTACCTTATAGTTTAAAGAATCCTAGAATTGGAACGTTAAAGGTCACCTGTCCAATCTCCTGCCTAATGCAGAATTGCCCTTTACAATTCATTGAGCAGTTACTTACTAGGGACCTGGTACTGTGCTCGATGCCTAATTGTGCCATCTTTAAGAGCTGGATCATCCAGGCTCTTCCTACATACATCCAGGGATAAAGTACTCACTGATTCTTGAGGTTGCTTGTTCAACTGTTAAAGGGCTCTAATCATTAGCAAATTCAGAGGATAGCTTCCTGATAGACTTCATTGGAACTAGACCTGTACCCTGAAGAAACACAAATCTAAATCTAACCCCTATGTCATATGACAGCAACTAAATAAAAAGTTAGGAAATCCTCAATAAGCCTATTCTTTCAGATCTGTCTTTTCTTTCTCATATTACATAGAATCCAGATGCTTACTATAGGTAGGAGGGAGGAAAATTGCCTATATGATTTTTCAAAACTATGTATGTCTAAGGTTATATCACACAGATATACTAAACATGAAAATTCTAATTGATCTTAGATTTTAGAGGAGACACCCTTATGGAAATTGGAACTGGCAACCAAACCCTGATCAAAACCCTAAGTGCCCATACCATAAGAGATAAGATAGACAAGTAGGACCTCATCAAACTGATAAGTTTCTGAAAAGCAAAAGAATCATCAAGAGAGCAGGGAGACAGCCCACAGAATAGAAAAAAATATTTTTCAACTGTATATCTGGCAAAGGCCTAATATCTAAGATCTACAAGGAACTCAAATGAGCCAAAAGGAAAAAAAACAAACAGCCCCATTAAAAGTGGGCAAAAGACATGAATAGACACTTCTCAAAAGAAGATATACGGACAGCCAACAGACACATGAAAAAGTGCTCAGCCTCACTCATCATCAGAGAAATGCAAATCAAAACCACATTGAGATACCACCTAACCCCAGTAAGAATGGCCATCATTAATAAAAACAAACAACAACAGATGCTGGAGAGGATGAGGAGAAAAAGGAACACTTCTACACTGCTGGTGTGAATGCACACTAGTGCAACCTCTTTGGAAGACAGTGTGGCAATTTCTGAAAAAACTAGAAATTGACCTTCTATATGACTCAGTAATCTCCCTATTGGGAATATACCCAGAGGAACTCAAGTCATTCTACCAAAAAGATACCTGCACACGCATGTTTTTTGCAGCTCTATTCACAATAGCAAAAACATGGAACCAACAATGCTGCCTATAGAAGCTGGACTAGATTTTTTAAATGTGGTATATATACACAATGGAATATTATGCAGCCATAAAAAAGGGCAAACATATGAACTTCACAACAACTTGGATGGATTTAGAGTCGATCATACTCAGTGATCTATCACAGAAACAAAGAACAGAGTACCATATGTTCTTACTCATAAGCGGACGTTAAACAATTATCATAATACTATAAGAAAGGGCTTGGCAGTTGAGAGAAATGACCAGGGGAGGGAGAGGCACACCTCATCAACAAGGGTACCTGCATAATGATCATTTGTATACCTAACTCTGAATTGTACCCCACATCTTTAAAATTAAAAAAAAGAAAAGAAATTTTTAAAAAAGAAAATTCTAGTTGAAAGTTTCTATTTGAATTAGTTTTTAAATCATTGGAACTAATTTTTTAAAAACTGTATAATTACCTTTTGGGATCAAGTCTAGCAGCAACCAATCTTGCAATACCCCGATTTTTTTTACTTTCCCTGTGATATATAATAGTAATATCAACATGGTTGAAAAGGTAGAAAGTATTCTTTTTGTTGAATTCAGACTGCAAAAAAACAAAAGACATTTTAAAGTTCAAACTTTTCCTACAAACTAAAAATATAAAACTTGATCATGGAATAAAAAAGAATTAGTTCTAAGAAAATTGAGCTATAAATTAAGCATATAAAGAGTAAATATGTTTTTATAAGATTAAAACTGTAGCCATGAGCATTTGACCTAAAATTAAGATTAATTTTAGTCTTAAATAGTTGTTAGAAAGAAATAATACCAGGATGTGTAAGAAAGAATTTAAAAAAGGAAGAAATAATATCACAAAACTATAAAATTCATAAATTCATGCATTTTTCTGGGTTTTAACCACACAATAATGTGAATATAGGTTAACTAATAAAATTTCATCAATATATACATTTTAAGCATATTAAAAGTTTGACCTTTATCTATGGTAAAAGTAAGGAAACAATAAAAATAGGAGATGTTTAGAATATTAACAGTGGTATCTGTGGGTGGTGAGATTACATTCAATAATTTTTCTGCTGTTTCTTTATACTTTTCCATAGTTTCCAATTCTTTCATAATGAGAATATATTTATACTTATAATCAAAAGCATCAAACAGACAAACGAATTTAACTCTGCCTACCAGCCAAGTGTTCATCAGTTCACTCCCTAGTAGCCACAACTTTGAAGGTAATTATCCAAATTTCCTAGATCAGTGCTTTTTTTAAATTTTATTTTATTTTTAATAGGAGTCTCACTCTGTTGCCTAGGCTGGAGTGCAGTGGCATTCTCACGGCCACCGTAGTCTCGACCTGCTGGGCTCAGGCAATCCTTCCGCCTCAGCCTTCCTAGTAGATAGAACTACAGGCACGCACCACCACGCCCAGCTAATTTTTCGGATTTATTGTAGAGACAGGGGTCTCACCAAGTTGCCCAGACTGGTGTCCAACCCCTGGACTCAGGCAATCCTCTCGCCTCCACTTCCCAAAGTGCTGGGATTACAGGCATGAGCCACTGTGCCTGGCAGATCAATGCTTCTTAAACTTGAAAGTTCACACAGATCACTCAGGGATCCTGTTAAAAAGCAGATTGTGATTCACTAGATCTGGGATGGGGCCTGAGATTCTGTCCATCTAACAAGTTCCCAAGTGATGTTAATGCTCTTAGTCCTGCAGCACACTTTGAGAATAACTCTTCTAGTCTAAAAGAAAGAACACTTTGCTCTTTTTTGATGAAAGTAGGTACAAAAGCATGAACAACTCCTATTTTTCATAGAGATCTGGGGACAGTCTTGCACTAAGGGTTGTTATGAACTTTAAGCACAGCGGTGGGGGCTGACAGTATTACAAACCCATCACAGTTGCAGCGGCTAGTACAAATATATAGGATTGAGAATTTGCATTGTGATAAAAAGTGATAAGGAAATCATTGGTACTCTTCTAGTGTTTGATGACTTTGTCAATACGGTACTGAAAGATGTTTGAAATCACACCAAAAAGAAGCATTACTAAATTAAATCAGATTTTGCTAAATGGAAATAATATAACAGTGCCAGTTCCTAGAAGAAAAGAAACTGAAGTGGGAATGAGTTTTCTGTACTTACACTAGATTTCATTTCATCTCATAACAACAATAAAATAGAATTTTTTCCCCTCTTAATGTTTTGAATCACTAAAGCTAAGTTTCCCATTAAGGGAAAGTTCTTTGAAGATGTATATCCATTTTTGTAAGTTAATCATGATTATCAGCCGGGCTCAGTGGCTCAGCCTGTAATCCCGCACCTTTGGGAGGCTGAGGTGAGTGGATTGCCTGAGCCCGTGGGTTTGAGACCCGCTTGGGCAGCGAGACCTCATCTCTATAATAAATTAAAAAATCAGCTGGGCATGGTAGTGCATACCTTTAATTCCGGCTACTTGGAAGGCTGAGGCGGAAGGATTGCTGGAGCCCAGCAGGTTGAGGCTGCGGTGGCTGGGAGTGGCCACTGCACTCCAGTCTGGGCAACAGAGTGAGACTCCAACCCCCCCACAAAAAAAATCATGATTATCTTGGAAGGAGAAGATTTCTTATTTGAAGACTAAAATAAAGGTGTTTTTCTCTTCTTTTTCTTTTTTTAATTTTTAGTGTTTAGTTTTTGAGTCAGGGTCTCACTCTGTCACCCAGGCTGGAGTACAGTGGCACACTCACAGCCACTGAAGCCTCAACCTGTTGGAATCAGATGATCCTTCCACCTCAACCTTCCAAGTAGCTGGAACCATAGGTGCATATCACCATGCCCAGTTGATTTTTTGATTTATTGTAGAGACGGGGCTCGCCAAGTTGCCCAGGATGGTCTCGAACCCCTGGACATAGGTAATCCTCTTGCCTTTGCCTCCCAAAGTACTGGGATTACAGATGTGAGCCACCGTGCCTGGCATTCTTTTCTTATAAAGACACTAATTGTATTGGATTAGGGCCAACCTTAATGGCCTCATCTTAATTCAATTACATCTGCAAAGACCCAATTTCCAAATAAGGTCACTTTCAAAGGTACTGATGATTTGAACTTCAACATATCTTTTTTAAAATTTATTTTCTGATTTTTCTCAGCCACAACCTTGATAGCACAACATATCTTTTTAGGAGACACAATACAACCTGTAATAACTTTTACTTTTTAACTGAAAACGCATTTATTGCTTGGTGCAGTGGATCATGTTTGTAATCTCAGCGCTTTGGGAGGCAGAGACAAGAGGATTGCCTGAGCTCACGGTTTCAAGACCAGCCTGGATAACTTGGTGAGACCTTGTCTCTACAATAAATCAAAAAAGTAGCCAGGTATGGCAGTGATGCCTGTAGTTCCAGCTACTTGGGAGGCTGAGACGGAAGGATCGCCTGAAGCCAGCAGGTGGAAGCTGCAGTGGCCATGAGCAGAATACCACTGCACTCCAGTCTGGGATATAGAGTAAGACTCAGATTCTAATTAATTGATTAATTAATTAATAAAAAGGGGGATAATAATAGAATCAATAATAGAATTGCTCATATGATTGCTGAGAGAATTAAATAGAATAATGTATGTGAAGTACTTAGTAAAGTGATTGGAAATCTTCAATAAATGTTAGCTAATATCATCCAGGCCTTCAACCCTCAGAAAATAAGAATAGCCAGGCATGGTGGCTCATGTCTGTAATCCTAGCACTTTGAGAGGCGGAAGTGAGAGGATTCCCTGAGCCCAGGGGTTTAAGATCAGCCTGGGCAACTTGGCGAGACCTCATCTCTACAATAAATCAAAAAATGACCTGGGCATAGTGACATGCGCCTGTAGTTCCAGCTACTTGGAAGGCTGAGGTGGAAGGATCACCTGAGCCTAGCAGGTCAAGGCTGCGGTAGCCGTGCGTGTGCCACTGCCCTCCAGCCTGGGTGACAGAGTGAGACTCCAACTCAACAACAAAAAAAGAAGTATAAGCCAGGCTCGGTGGCTCAGCCTGTAATCCCGCGTCTTTGGGAGGCTGAGGTGAGTGGATTGCCTGAGCCCACGGGTTCGAGACCCGCCTAGGCAACTTGGCGAGACCTCATCTCTACAATAAATCGAAAAATGAGCCGGGCATGGTAGCGTGCGCCTGTAGTTGCAGCTACTTGGAAGGATGAGGCGGAAGGATCACTGGAGCCCAGCAGGTCGAGGCTGCGGTGGCCGGGAGTGGCCACTGCACTCCAGTCTGGGCGACAGACTGAGACTCTAACTCAAAAAAAAAAAAAAGTATAAACGAGCCTTGTCAGTTACCATATTGAGTAATCTATAACATGTAGAACTCCAAGATTAAGAATTATGACTTTGCAAATCTCAGAACTGAGGGTGATGGCCCTGAAGGAATTTTATAGATCATTTAGTGATGATAGAGAAAAGGGGAAGAGTGATTGTGTGGGGGTATGTCAGAATCAGTTTGAGAAGGAGAGTAAATACTGCTCACTGAAGCACTATTTTTAACTGCAAAAAACTGGAAACAGCCAAAAGTATCTATCAAACCATTTAAATAAAGTATGGTATAACCACAAAGAAAAATTAAAATGCAGCTAGATTTGCCTGTACAGATATGGAAATATGTCCATGATATTGATATATATATATATTTTTTTTTTTTTTTTTTTTTTATTTATTTTTTTTTTTGAGTTGGAGCCTAACTCCATCGCCCAAACTGTTACGGGAAGCTGGGAGTCTAACACTCTCGACTATGTATGCACATGGGTGCAGTGCCTACTGTGCCACATACCAGCTTTACAGAGAAGGACCAGACTCACACTATCAGCTTCACATTCATTATCAGTAACATGGGAGAGATTAGAGCACCTATCTCACAGGCCTGCTATGAAGATTAAGTTAAATAACTAATATAAATATAACACATTTAGCAGGCCAGGTGCAGTGCCTCAGCCTGTAAGCCCAGCACTTTGGGAGGCCGAGGCGA